TGAGGAAAATTTATAAGTTAATTCTAAAATACTTAATTTTGGGTTATAAGAGTTGTGGGATTTTAAAATAAAAATTATTAAATTAGAAAGTTAACTATATATATAAGATTAATTAATTAGCTTATATTAATATGTGATTATATTAATTTGTGGTTATATTAATTGTGTAGATTAATTATTGAATTATTGGTTTGAGCACGGGGTTGACTTTGTGGTAATTCTTTTTATAGCCTTGGCAAAAAGTAACCACTTTCCACTTGTTATGTATGCTTGTATGATGTTTGTGAGTGATTTTAAATTATATGAAATTCTTGAAATGCCATTAGATTATAATTTGAGCAATGAAAGGCATTATTGTTGAAATTGTCTTGAGATACTTTATGTTATTGGGAAAAAAATAGTTATGAAATTATAAATTTATAAAAATTGTCATGTGGAACAAGAATTTATTAAGAAATAATTTTGAGGATTGATGTTGATTATTAAAAATTTGAAATCTCGATTTTGGTAAATGTGAAAGTTATGATGTTATCGGTAAATAATTATTTTATAAATCTCATAAGTATAAATACGAGAGAGGATGGTGAACGTTGATTGGTGGGAAACATGTTATAGGGAGAATAAGGGGGTAAATTTTGTACATATTATAGAGGTAATAAAGTGAGAGGATGCCAGATGTACATTGGTTGATCCTTTGGCCCTGTCATGTGTTGTAGGGTGTATGACACCCCACTAGTGGACTAAAGGGGGAACCCATGGTCCGATCTCGTGTTCCGTGAATTTTGGCATGTTCACATCACTTGATCGGTGAGCTTATTATGTTGAACTACCAGTCACATGGGACAGTACTAGCTCATGGGTTCAATCAGAGGAAATAAGGTGTGAGGAAATAAGGTAGAATTAAGAGTGAGTTATTGTATTTTGATATGTGTGTGTATATATATATATATATATAACCATGTGACAATTGTGAATGTTATGATTTTAGTAACTGTTCCACTTGAAACCTCTCAAACACTTACTTATATGCCTGATGAGCAGGATTGTTAGTTACTAAGGCTTTTGTTTCACCCCGCGGTTTAACATTTTCATATAATAGCTCTAAGACTGGTCCGTTAGGGAAGGCAGGGGAGGCTTAGCTATCAAGTTTATCTTATGTAGCCTCCTTTTTGTCATGTGATGAGTATTGTATATTGCTACATATAACTCTTTTTGCATACTCTGATTTATTTAAGACTTATGGTCTTAGTTACTTTTGCTGCTGGGTTGCTTGTGTTGGTGAGTTGTGAAGCCACAATAACTTTTGAAAGTAGTTGACTACTGTTGGTTTGGAAGAATTTCATTCAGAAAATATCATGTTATGGGCTTAGAGATGAATTGTGATGTTCTGGGTTTCACAAAGCCCAAGACCCAGTTATTGTGAAATATTATTAATCACGGTTTTTATACAATTTGTTTAGTAAAACTCTTATAATCATGATAGACATTCTGAATAATTAGCCCAAGTCTTTTCTATCATGATTAATATTTTTTTAGCAAATCAAAATTTCTTTTTATAACTATGGTAGTCTTTTTGAAGATTATACTAAGATTGTTTTCTACCATGGTTAGTATTACTAAATTTTGATTTTAAAAAGGTTAGTAACAGATTAGAGATAACTGTTGTTACAACATCAGAGACAGTGGTCATTAGGATGTACTGTTTCCGTCGTTAAAGACCCAATTGGCATTGTGGTGAGTGAAACAAACTTCTTATTTTATGTTTTGACCAAGTTCTTTTAAATGTTATATATTTCCCTTTTCATAATATATTCTAGAACTATACATTTATATTCTGATCACAAATATTTACACACAAAATCACCATGACATGCTTTGGACTTTATAAATTTAATATTTCGGAGATGTAATACACTAGTAATTATGTTAAATTTACATATTATGCAGGTTCTTGCTATGTGATGTATTATGCAAGTTCTTACTAAATAATGTATTATGCAGGTCCTTGGTATGTAATGTATGTTTCAGCAAGTCTGCTCATCAAGTCTTTTAGACTGACCATTGCAACTTGCAAGGGAGGACGAGGAGATGATATTAATAATTGAAGGCATATTACAAGTGAAGTGAAGATTTTAGTTTGTGTGTTACTTTAAAGCCGTGTAATATATGTATATAGTTATATTTTATGCATACAACTTGTATCCTTAATGAATAAGTGTATGTGTCCTTAAATAAAGAGGAAATCAAAATATTTCTTTTTGAAGAGCAAGAAGAAATGACCTAAAGTTTTTTATATTGACTTGAAAGGGAGTTTTTGATGGTCAGTGCCAGCACCCAGTGCATAGAGGTAGGAATACAAGCTAACCCAGCCCTCTAGAGCCGACCCTGTAAGGTTGACAGGCTTAAAAGGGTCGACTCTATAGAACTGAAATTTCAAAAATATTCTAATTTGCTAAGCGCCACCCTTAAGCTGACACGCTCAGGCCGACCCACGGGCTTTCGGCCTATTTAAAAAAAATGCTAGTTTTCATATTTGTAATATTTTTTATGAAAAAATAAAAACAAACTGATGAAATTATTAATAAAGGACATAACTATGAATAAAATTAAGTCACAAATACTAAACATCATGATACCTAAATATTCATTGACATCCAAAAATATCTAAGACTTCCATAAACAAGACAACAATATTCAAAAATTTTATCAAAAGTACAAATATGCAATAGACAAACACTATTATTAATTTTTTTTGAAACTTTATCATTATTATAATCAATTACTCTTCTTTCATAACAAAAATATCAAACTTTTTTTATAGGAATTTTACTTTTAAATTTTATAATCTAACTATTATTTTACTTTAGTTCAAGAAGTATTGTTGTTAAAACTTATAAGTTTCTAATTGAAAAATATAAAATCAGAAATTATATAAGTATAAAAATACTCTCTTATCAAAAGTATATAGTTTTAAAATATCAACACATATAATTAAATCAAATTATTATTAAAGTCCAAATTAACTCATTTTTTAAAAATTTAATTGGATAAATAATTGTCTAAAACCAAATAAATCAAATCATTATATGAAATTTAATTTTAGAATGATAAAAAGGTAAATAATATTAAAATTATACAAAAAAATTTTTAAAAAAAACAAAAAAAATAAAAAGGCCTAAACAGGCCAACTCTCAGCCCTGCAGACCAACCCGTTTAAACCTTCAGTCCTACAAAGCTAACCTTTTAAGTCTGTTTTTTCATTTGAAAGAAAAAATTTCAAACCTAGCTCTTACAATTTTGAGCCTAAACAAGCTCAGCTTATTTTCTAGTTTTACCAACTGCCATTGTGCTCCTGTTATATATAAATATATATATTTTTGAACTAGAATTTACTCTACGTGCATCACTACAATGTATTCATCATGTATCACATCATTTCAAAAATAAATTAGTTATCTAAACAACGTGCACAAAACACAATCCCTTGCCTTGCAAAACAAACAGCATCAAACAAAAAAAATGGCAAGCCTTTATTATATGAAACAAATAAAAAAATGCAGCTTAATAGGAAGTGCTAACATTCTAAAACAATTGCCAATAAACAACGTTGATAATTATATCTTAGGTAAAAATTCAAAAAATGCTTAAAAATATAAAAATCAGTTAAAAAAATGTAAAAATATCTCAAACTGTTTTATAAAATAATTCAATGTGAGATTATTTTATCCATAATAATCAATCGGTTATACTATGGTCCCATGACATAATCAATCGGTTTATCCATAATAATCAATCGGTTCCAAAATGCACTGGGCTTAACCCACAATGCAAATAAGTAACTACATTAACAGATGAGCTATAAGACTAGTCAAACTACAATATTCATTTAGATTCTTGACACAACATCCCTTATAACCGTTCCGTCATTTAAAAAAAAAAAAAAAAAATCAAAATAGCAATGTGAAATGCTGAGCAATACCACCTCTGTATCTTCATCTTCACAAGGTCCTACATTGCTCAAGTTAACGCCCATAATTTTCAATCATTAAGGTCCAATATTTTGCATTTATTATAATACTAATCCAAGTCAATAGTGGAAAATCACATTTTTCCTGGAGAAACAATACCTGATAAAATAAAATGAATGGATGGCAAAAAAAAAAAAGATAAATAAAATAAATGAGAATATAACATCTTTAAACACATGGCCTGTTTTATACAGTTGCACAAAACAGTATCAAATCATTTTACTGCCTAAAATAACTCAATAAAAGAAAGAATAAAAGTGTTAATATGTATCTAATCCTTATGATGTTACCCTCCAACAGATTACAAGATTTTCATAGCTTAGCAAATCCTGGAAGACAAGGTCTACTGATTCTTCCCTTGAAAATATCAAAACTTTTGTATTCCCAAAGTTGACCCCCCTTTCAAGAAACTTCTGCCAACCATCTTACTTTGTAAGCTCATAAAATAAAGATCTGGACAATAATAGAATTATATATCAGATAAATAAGAAACTCAATAGATTTACCATAACAATATAGAGTAAATTGCCTTAACTTTGTTCACCCTTCAAGCTTCTTTTTGCACCTTCTACTGCAATTTAAAATACTGACAAGCAACTTTACAGGACACAAGATGGTTAACTTCTGTCAGTATCCTTTCAAATGGTATCCTTGACAGTTACATGTACAATAGCAGATAAAGTATGTGCTTAATTTAAGACTCGGTTAATGTCCCAAGTATAAAAATAAGATATCTCTACACTTTTTTAAATTCAGAAGCAGTAACTCAGAGTGCAGACTAAGAGTAATGTATTTTAATCCCTCTATTTGGCAGCAAGTAATATGATTTCTATTAATACTATTGCATTATCTGCTATATATCTTTGAGAATGAAGTGAGTGATAGCAGTCAAGATGAAAAAGCATATCATGTTAGTGATTATGTTAAAATATCACGATATCCTGCTTGTTAGTCAGGATGACCAACTGATAACTAAAGTATACCTCATTTTGGATAATTGGTGCTCAGTTGCAAAATTCTTCAAATATGGTAGAAATTGACCTGCCATAGAACATATAACTTAATCCATAAAGTAAAATAACAAAATAAGAATATAAGGACAGATCTCAGATAAACTATATGAGGGCTAGGACGTAAAATCCAATCATATAAACTGCAAATAAGTTTCCATTCTACAGAAATAATAAAGAGAGTAGTAAGACATGTAATAAAGAAAAAAAAGAGAAGAAAGCTTGTTCTAATGACAAAAAGAGCAAGATATGGATAACAATCAATGGTTGAGTTTGCTCTTAATGTTTAGAATACCTCAACAAATTATGACAAAACACCGAAGGGCCTGGTGCAAGAACCATACCTCAAATGTAATTTATATGTCAGCAAAGTTCATCACTTCATGTGTCCTCTGGTCTACTACTTTTGAATATCTTGGTCATTTTCTCAAGCATTTGGTGTGCATCTTCAAGCAAACCTTTTTTCTTTCCGTGATGACTGGTGAACTGCGGGGGCAAAAATCAACAACCAGCATCAGCAATGAGAATTAAATTAAATTCTAATAGTAGCAAGAAGCAATATAAATGCCTAACATGCGAAACTCTTGAATCTTGTGATGCTCACCTTGTTACATTTTGCAATAGAAAATCCATCTTTGAATGAATTTAGTGAGTAGGACACCTCAAGTTCTGCATGATAGCAAGCCAATTTGAATAAAAAGAGGGGAAGAGATAGTAAACATCAAAATTGGGGGAAACGAAAATAAATACCGAAATAAGATGTTTTTGAAGCAACTTATGAAGAGTACATGCACATGAGAATACAGCTACAAAGTAGATAGAGGCCGCCAGATCAAACTCTCGAATCACCAAGGGAATGAAAGGGAAGGAAAAAACGGAAAACAACTTACCACAAGCCAAAAGACATCATCTCCATGTGGGATTTGCTAGGTTTCCAAGAACAAAGTTGGAAGGCAAGGAATTTCACCCCAAAAAAAAAATAGAAGGTAACGAAAAATAGACGAAGAGCAGGGAGACGATGAAGCCGTGGCAAGAGAGAAAAAGGAGATGAAAAGAAATTGAGGGAGAGAGGAGATGCATACCTGATGCGGAAGGGGGGAGAGTGAAAAAGAGCAGTGAGTCCTCTGGGAAAATTGAGGAAAAGGGAAAAGAAACAGAGAGAAATGGGACAGAGATTCAGAGAACTCGAAACACATCTAGACTTTGAAAAGAAAGAAGAAAGATGGAAAAATAGAGTTGGAGGGAATTTCAAATTTGAAACTCACTTTTACACGCAGCCGAATAGGATTAGCCATCAATATTTATTTAGTCATCATTGTTCATGGCACACTGATTTGAGTGAGGAGCTATTGAGAATTGAGATATGACTTGGCTCATTATTGATTTTTATTTATAAGTCATGTTGATTGAAAAGGGTGATCATACAAACCAATAAAGCAACACAAAACGAGTAACCTCTCTCATCCTCTCTTTTTTCAGCTTAGAAAAGATAGAGGGTGAACAAAAGTACAAAATGGAATATCCAAATTATGAGAAGTCTTAGTTAAGAGGTTAGCACTGGAGAGGTCTCCTTTTATAACTAAAAGAGGCAAGACCCTGCCAATCCTTCTTCAAAAGCAATCTTGCATCTTCTATAACATCATGAAAAGGGTGATCCGCATCGCCAGTCTCACGAAAGCAAATTGAAAATGGGCATCAAGGAAAGAGCGTTATTGTATACATAATATTAAATATGATCCTTGCAACCCATTTATTCATTGGAACGTCATTAGTTATGCCGAATTTTAGGGTAACAAAATCTATTCTATTGTCAATTTAGTAGAAATGAGTAGTCAATCAAAATAATATATATTGGATTTAGTACACAAATTATTTTAAAGAGAGAGAGAGAGAGAGAGAGAAAGCTAATGAGGAGATCTTTGCTCAATTCAACTTTGGTCACATATTAAATGGCAGCAGGACTTGGGAGAAAATTCTACAAGACAGGACCTCATTTATTTTTCACAAACGGCGTTGATTAGGCAGAATTTTTTTAGATAAAAAAAACATATTCGTTGCCATTTTGATTTGAAGAGTCTTAGGTGAGGAAAAATATATGACAAAATAAAAGGAGAAACATTGAAATACGTACACCCACTTTAAATTGAAGTGATCTTTGTCAGAATATATGTTTTCTATATAGTCACAAATAAACAGCTGAGTCGAAAATCCCTCAAGAAAGATATATAGTGTCCGTTTGGATTAGTGGTTGAAAAAACAGCTTATAAGAAAAGTAGCTTATGGAAAAGTGAAGTTGGTAAAAGTTAAATTGGATAAACTGAATTATATTTGGATTGGAGGTCAAAAAAGTTAGTTTGTAAAGTGAGATTGTAAATCTTGTTTGGATTATATTGAGTAAAAGTAAGTTTGACGGAAAAATTACCAAAATGGATGAGTTTTAATAAATAATGAAACATGATAAAAAATTGATTTCAAATAATACAATAAAATGATAATAATTTAATATGAAGAAATCAAATTTAATGAGTGGATCAAATTTTAAAATTTTAAAGAAATCATAAAAAAATGTTTTAAATGTAAAGTGAAACATGAAAAAAAAAACAGAATTGAGATAATATAATGAAGAAGTGAAATTCAATAAGTGAATTAAAACTAAAAATTTTAGAGAAATCATAAAAAATATTGTAAATATAAAGTGAAACATAATAAAAAAAAATGAATTGACATAAGACAATGAATTTAAATATTTAATATGAATAAGTGAAATTAAGTGAATTAAATTTGAAAACAACAGAGAAATGGAAACAAATAAGGCAAATACAAGCGAAACATAATTTGGATGCATAAAAATGTTTTGAACTCCAATTTGCAGTATTGCAACAAAATGAAACGAAAGAATAATATTACATAATTAATTAATTGATAAGCTATGGATAATTTGGTTTCTGATTGCATCACGAACGCGATTCATATGTGATGAAGATTGTGAATTGACTTTGAAGACGATGGTTTGACTAGCTTCAGTTTGATCATGTTCGCCAACTACATTACCATCTTCAACTTGTTGAAAATAGAAGTCAGAGCTTGAATGTCTCCTTATAAGGTTATGAATAGTCATTGTTGCACAAACCAAATACACTTGTGTTTAGAAGTCGTAACTGCGCATATTTCATAGGATTTGAAATCTATTCTTCCAAACACTGAATGTTCTTTCTATTGCGCACCTTAAACTGAAATAATAATAATTGAAGGCTTCATTCCTACTTTGGAATCCTACTTGTCGTCAGAAGTCCGAAAGGTAGTAGCGCTCAGATCTGTATGGACCTAGATATCCATTTGGTGTTGGATATCCCGCATCAACCAAGTAATAGTTCCCTAATGATTCATGACACAATTTGAGACATTGTGAAATGAATAAAAAAATATGAAGTAATTAAAAATGTATTGGAACATATAAACATATACCTAGAGGTGAATGAGGGAAATTTAGAGATGAATTTGTAATAGCGCTATCAAATATACGAGCATCATGTGCAGATCCCTCCCATCCTGCCAAGACAAAAGTGAAACACATATCCCAATCACATATAGCCATGACATTTTGTGATGGATTTCCCTTTCTGCCAATAAATTTATCTAGTTTTGCAGCGAGAAACAACACATGGTATGTGAGTGCCATCAATTGCTCCGATTGCGTCCTTAAAAAAAGATAATAATTGGATCATTCTCCATTTTTCTATGAGTTTCACGAAATGTAGGATCTATGGGTCGAATAAGTTCACTTGATAGGTTAAGGCAAGCTTGCAGTACATTATGAAAGTGCCTACTTACAGTTTCTCCTAAAAGTTGTGAAGTTCCTGGGTCATCCCATGTATTGTCCATGTGCAACCGTTGTTTAAAAACATCACGACCTTTCTTCAATTCCTACATACTTAGACTTTCGTAAACCATGTTCTTCCAATTTAGTACATAAGAGGTGGAAAACATTTTGGATCCAATCTAAACATTTCAAGACATCGATCATCATGCCCATTTATAATGCCTATGTACCCATAAATTTCATGTCTGCTCACCAGTTCTACAGGGTTGTTTAAACATATACATTTCACAATAATGACCACCAATGCATCTACTGCTTCATACTGTGTTAATTCCTCATTAATCGTGGATAATCGTCTTGAATGGTCATCTTCATTCCATTGTGAATCGTTATTCCAATCTCTCAAAGTATCTTCATTTCATGGTGAATCATCATTCCAATTAGCCATTTCTGGAGTTAACCCTGTAACTATGATAACAACAAAGTGTAAGCATTATAAGGACTACACTAAACAAAGTGTAAATAATTTTCATACTACAAACAAAAAAACCAAACGCATAGATGACAAGTAGAATTAGCATAAATATATTACATAGTCATTAATAAAGTTCCTACAACAGGTCACATCAATTCAGGTTCAAATAGCAATCAGTTCAAGTTAACAAGTGCAACAACTAAATCCTAATCTCCAAGTCCCTTTCATGTGTTTAGGTCTTGTGCTGTCGGTATTAACCACGCCAACAACTTGCTTTTATCATGTATAAACCCCAAATAGGCTCATCTAGCCCACCTCAACTGCGTAAGCATCTTGGCACATGCATAATATAATTGATTGTTACCATTAAGCTCCTCAACAGTAGTCAGGTGTACTAAAACCTTGTCAACTAGTTGGGGATCTTCAACAAGTGCTGCTGCTCGCTTGTCAGAAGCAGCTACTATAACACTAAGGCTATCATAAATTTTAGTAGACACAGCAAATTTTTTCTTCTTCTTTACATCACTTTCCATAGCTTCCTAAGCCACTTGGTCCAGTACTCACGGGGTTGTTTAAGTTGCAACCGGCGAAGTCATCTATGAACCCTGTACTGGCTGTTGGATTAACTCCGAAATTTTCATCCTCACTGTCCCCTGACCCTTTCTGTTGGTCCAGGCCGACTCTATAAACATCCTCCTCCTCTTTTGTATCAGCCTATGTCACAGGTGTCAACTGGGGCTGTGAGGCTGATGGTGCATACATATAGTCTCCCGAAGCCACAACATCTTTGATTATTTTCTGTAGATCTGATGCAAACATCAACCCTGATGTCTAAATTTCTTGAAGTTAGGGTCAACCTACATTACATTAACATAATTAGGCAAAAATTAAACAAAGTCTTAACGGATATTCAAATTAAAAATCAACCAATGCAAATAATTACTAGTAATTTTTGTTGCCACCACTCATCGGAGGCCAAAACCCTATTTGTGGCTACAGCATAACCAATCCCAGTCTCTCCAGATATTAGTTTATCCCACAACTTCCAATCTTTTCTCAACATATCAAATTTATTCTTCAATTGCCTGCTGTCGTACTTTCTCCTGCTCCTTTCCTGAAAGTTCTTTTCAATTTTCCCCCAACCGGGCCTTTTAAATGATGTTCGTTGTCGTTCCTTGTGCACTATTTGCTCGACGCAAACATCGATTAGAATCTTTGTCGTGTAAGGATCCCATGTCACTTTTCCATTATCATTGTCCATTTCTCTATGCCTTTTGATGGAGACAAAACTAACTAAATCAACCAAAAGCCTAAATATGTAATAATAAAAGCCATATTATGTAACCACCAAACGAACATATATATTATTTTCTTAATATTATTGTAAATGTTTCTGTTTACAAAACCCCAATTATTATTATGAAGTTGTAAAATATTAATTAACACATTGTAATTGCAAAAGCTGTTTAGTTTTCTTATTCAAAAATTTTTTAAACTATAAACATTTAATCAGTGGTAACTGGTTGTGAAAATTTTTTCAAAGCTCAATTAATCAATTATTTTTCTTATTGTTTGAAAAACAATTGTTCATCTTTGAATTGGAACTGCCATATTTTAACAGAAACTTAATTAATAATAACTTAATTAATAGAAACTTAATTAGGGAAGACAATTTAGTAGTTAATTGTGTTATTAAAAACTTAATTAAAAGGACTAAAAAATTGTTTTAAAATTACTTTCTTCAATCTACTTCACATAAAAGCACTGAAGTCATAAAAATTAATACATTAGGAACAACAAGTCTTTTTAATTTTGACATAGAATAGAATTTTTCCTGCTTAATGGATAAGCATTTACTACCAATGGGAAAGTCTTTTTCATATGAAATTGCAAATTGAAGTTATTGGATTTACACCAACGAAAACCAGAAATTTTTGCACATTTTTCTTTCAAAATTCCAGCACCATTGCAACCGAATGATCAGTGTAACACAATATGATATACAAATATACACAAGCTCATATGCACGTATACACAATCACATATCCAGTATACACAATCACATATCTAGAATGATCATCACAAGCTCTACGCAGATCCATTGCTCCAACAGATAGCTGTTAATTCACCTCAACAGCTCGGACAAGATGATCAAAACCACGAAAGGGAGGATAAAAAGATCAGACCACCAGCAAGTATAGGCAAGCGACCATGAAAAACCAGAAGGGAAAAATAAAAAGAACCACCGACCAACAAAAACAAAGGACCACAAAAACCACAAAGGCGAGGAGAAAAAGATCACACCACCGACGAGCAGAGGCAGGCGACCATGAAAAACTTGAAGGGAAAAAATAAAACAACCATCGGCCATAAACAGAGGACCACAAAAAACCAGAAGGAAAAAATTAAAAAACAACCAGTGGCGACAGAGAACTCTTGATTAAACCAATTTTCAGGCTTTAATGTTAAGGCTTCCACAAGTGACAGCAAATTCAATCATGGATCAAACAAGAAAAGAAAGAAAAAAAATTACCGCCCAACCTGTAACAGATCAACCCAACCGAAGGCTGCCAGAGGTAGATCCCACGGTTGTATCAAACTGGCAAGGCAAGATCTCCACGCACAGCTCAAAAAGCACAAGCAGACGGCAGCAACCTCGGTTGCAGACAGTGGGACCAGCTCAGACATGAGAGGAAGAAGCACCCTCCAGCAGGCCACGCACACCTCACCCCTACTACGCTGAGCTCGCGGCGATGACAAAGCTGAGCTCACGGCTTCCAGGGAGGGACCTTCTATGGGGCGACCAGTGACGGAGATAGGGTGGGAGTCCTGGATGAAAAAGAAAGGAAGTGATCGAGAGGCAAAACGCAGATGGGAGAGAAAAAAGAATCTCTGACATTGCAGAACAGCTAACCCTTCTGATTTTTTGTTTTTTTTGGCCAAAAGCTCTTCTGATCTAATTGATAAGCTCCTTCTTGGAGCTTATTGCAATTGGGCGTCCAGATAGCCTTTTTTAACATAAGCCCAATCAATTCCAAGCTCTGTCAAACAAGTCCTTGATTTCAACCCAGCTTATTTTAAAATTTAAGCTGGTTTAAGCTACTTTTGGGTCAGCGTTGAATATGATCCTTCCAGTCCACTTATTCATAGGACCATAATTAATTAATTATGCTGATTGATTGGGGAAGCAACATCTATTGTCAATATGGTAAAATATTTATCTCTGATAAAAAAATATGGTAAAATATTTAGATGGTAAGAAGTAAAGTCTACACGAGACATACATATATATAGGGCTGGTAAAACGGGCCAACCCGCGGGTTGCGGGTGGGCCCGTGGCGGGTTGTGGGTTATTTGGGTCGGGCTCAAAAGGCTCGTTTTCTGGCGGGTTGGTATTCTGCCAACCCTAACCCACCAAGGTGGGTTGGCGGGTCAACCCACCAACCTGTCAGATTTTTTTTTAAAAAAAAATTTTCTTATAAATAATCAAAAATTAAAAAAATCAGAAATGATTTATAGTATTCCAAGTATTCACACAAAATTACAACACATTAAAACACAAAATATACAATTGTTCAAAATTCAAACTCCAAACATGATAAAACACAAGTTCAAATATAAATTTTTCCTACATTTCCAGCCCATCTCCTAATATTTTAATATATATAAAAATTTAAAAAAATTTAGCAGGTTGGCGGGTTGACCCGCGGAGGGCTTGGGTTGTAGCGGTGCGGGCTCATATTTTTCAGGTGGTAGCGGGTTGACCAAAGGCCAACCCTAACCCGCCTCTTTTGGCGGGTTGGCGGGTTCAACCCGCGGGTCCAACCCATATTACCGGCTCTTTGATATATATTTATCTTTTGGGAAACCATTTATTGATTATTCACAGATCGATGAGCAGCGAAGTTATTTTCAAGGCAGATATCAAAGAAAAAGAGTTTTTAATGAAGAAAAAAATATATGAAAAGAAACTAAAGAGAGGAAAACTGACATGTGGCCACTCTGAAGTGATGTTTACGTAGAAAAATTGTCACAAATTTAAGAGCAATGTGGAAAAGTCCTCAGAAAGTAGAAATAACTTTAAATATGATTGTGACACAAGAAATGTCCATGAGATGTAGGGAACGAGTTTCAATGCGTAACAGCAAGGAGCTCATTGCAAATTTAAGAGCAACGTGGAAAAGTCCTCAAGAAGTAGAAATAACGTTGAATATGACTGTGACACAATAACTATCTGTTAGATATGGGGAACGAGTTTTAGTACTACGTAGAGGCAAGGAGCTCATCACTACTACGCACCGTTTCATTGAAGTTAGGAATGATCTTAACCGTTCCATGATGAGCGATCTAGTTGCATATAGAAATTTTGAAGGTCTGAGCTGTTTCAATCCTCTCTCTTCGTTAATTATGCTTAAGAGGACGTTAATTATGCTGAATTTTTCAGGTAAAAAAATAGATTTCCTAATTAAATTGAAAGTGCACATCAAAAAAAGGGGTATTTTGTGAAAAATGTGGAAAATAAAGAAGAGAAAAAACTGACATGCACTCACTTTGAAATGATGTTTAACTGACAAAAAAGGAAAAAAAAATCTATAATCACAAAGGGCAAAGTGGAAAAGTCCTCGAGTCATAATATTGAAAATGATACTTGCAAGTCCATTTATATCATTAACTATGCAGTATTTTTGAAAATAAAAAAAATCTATTGTAAAAAAATAGCTTGTAGAGATAAATATCAAGTCTGATAATTAATATAAGAGATAATTAAAAAATTAATTTAGTTTTAAATATAACACCTCAATTAACTTAATATCAAATACTTGTCCATTTGACTTTCAAGTAATCCTTATAGGCTATTGGTGATTATACATGTTTTTTGTTTTTTTTATTCAAGAGAAGGCCAAAGCCTAAATAAAACTCAAAAATAACTTAAGGAGACTGGCTCCCATGTTCTCAGCGTCCATCATATACTGTAAGCTATAAGGATAGTAATCCATAAAAGCTGCAACTGCAAAACATTGTTTATTTTTTTTTGTAATAAAGGAAATCTAAACTAAATTACATTAGGACCCATCTACAAGCGCTCACTCTGTTAATATCCTCCTTGAGAATTCCCTCGATCTTCTCAGGCGGTGTTTGCCAGAAAACGTCTCTTTCATGCTATTCTATGCTTACTCTAGCCAAACTGTATGCACACTTGTTGCACTCACGATAAACGTGTTTGAAGGTTAAGTTACAATCTTCTCGCATCATAGCATAGATCCTCTGTGATAGTGCATAGCAGCCTGGGATTTCTTTCTGCTTATTAATGCATTGCATCACTATTTCAGCATCACACTCGATCTCGATCTTCCTAAAGCCCATTCTTCTACACATCTTTAATCCCTCATAAATTCCCCAAGTCTCTGCCATTATGATATCACAGTCTCCAAGTCGCTTCGTGAAACCACCCAACCATTCACCTTTATTGCCTCTAAGTACTCCTGCACACCCTGCCTTGCCTCTTCTATTTACGCTTCCATCTGTATTCAATTTGCACCACGTCAAGGCTGGTGGATTCCATCTCATATGTATCTCAGCCGTCTTTGTCTTGTTGAAAGGTTTCGCTGTGGGTTGATGTCGGTAGTTCTTTAAGAGTTGAATGATGACTCTTTCAGGTTGCGTAGGACGCTCAAAGTTTGGTTCATGAGTTTGTTGGTTTCGCCATTTCCACAGATGCCAGCAACTCGTTGCGAATATCTCTGCCCATTTTTCTTCCTGTCTCATCATTCTTCTACTAAACATGTTATGTATGATCCAGTCAGTCCAGCTTAGATTGAAGAAAGTGTTCTGTTGGTCCCTTGAGACTAGTGTTTGCCAGGCTATCCTCGTATGAGGATAGTCTCTTAGTGCGTGTAGTTGGTCCTCTATTCCCAAGTGACAGATTTCACAAAAACCTGTGCCTTCATCCCACTTGCTCGTGAGCTTTTTTGTGGGTAGCCGTTGGTGGATCATCAACCAGCAGAAGACCCTTATTCGTTCTGGTACTTTTAGTTTCCAAACACAGTCCCATATGTTTCTTGTGTGTGACCATGGCATATTTTGAAGCCATGCATAAGTACTAGCAGTGGTAAAGTTTCCTTGCCCATTGATTTTCCATCAGAGTCTGTCTTTATCCTCCCTATCAGCTACAAATATTGTTGAGTGGATTTTCAAGCTTACATGTTCAGGTAGCAGGTGTTCGAATCTTGTAGTCTTCCACTCTCCTTCTTCATCTAACATTTCTTCCACTCGAATTTGATCATAAATTTTCACCTCTTCTGGTATGTACTTGATAAGGCAATCTTCATTTGGCAGCCATCTATCTTTCCAAAACAGTGTTGTTGCACCATTTCTGACTTCTCGCTCTATGTTTACATGAAACTGTTCTTGCAACTTAACAATTTCTTTTTATAGTTTGGAGTCTCCTACCTTTGCCTCCATCTCTCTTTTCTCGATTTTGGATCTTCCATACTTGCCAAGTAGAACCTGCACCCATAAATCATTTGGGCTATCGTGCATTCTCCACAGGAGTTTAAGAAGAAAGGCGTCATTCATGCCTTGCAAGGATTTAAAAGCAATTCCTCCTTCATGTTTGGATCTACAAAGCTGCTCCCATGCCACTACGTGCCTTCTTTTTTTCCCCTCTATGTCTCCCCAAAGAAACTTTCTTTGCATTTTCTCAACTTCTTCCGTGATTCCTCTTGGTAATCGATCATGTTGCATGGGGTACAAAGCCATCGAGCTTGTTACTGATTTAATTAGAGTTATTCTACTTGCAAGTGACAGACTTGCTGCCTCCCAGCCACTTAACCTCTTCCTGACTCTTTCAATTATGTGAGTATATTTCTCCCTCCTCTTCCTTGGATTAGAAATTTGAGCTCCAAGATAGCGTCCCAGATCCTCTACTGCCTTGAATTTACTTACTTGGTAGATCCGTTTTCTTTCTAAGTGATTCACATTTGGCGAGAAGTAGATGTGAGTCTTCTCTTGGCTCACTTGATGTCCGGACATCTCTCCAAAAACCTGCAAAACATTTAAAATTTCTTTAATTTGGTCAGTGCTTGCCTCTGCAAAAAGAACAAGATCATCAGCAAACATCATATGTGATATGTTTGGGCCTTTTCGCCCTGCTCTCATTCCTTTCCATTTTCTCTTTTTCACTTGATCAAGAATAAGGTGTGTGAGTTTTTCCATGCCGAGCACAAAAAGATAGGGGGAAATAGGATCGCCCTGTCTTAGCCCTCTAGAAGGCTTGATTTCCTCAAGTTTCTCGCCATGCCAAAGAATTTGTGTAGAGTTTGTATGAATACAGCCCATGATTCTTTCAGTCATCTCCTTTGGGCATTTAAGCTCTTCTAACACCTTTCCCATGAAATTCCAGCTGATTCTATCATAAGCCTTCTCAAGGTCTACTTTGATTGCCATATAGCCTTTCTTTCCTCTTTTCTTTCTCATTGAATGTATCATCTCATTTACAATGATGATGTTGTCATGAATGTTCCTCCCAGGGACGAAACTCACTTGGAAAGGGGAAACTATACTGGGCATGATTCCCTTTAGCCTTTGAACAATTATTTTAGAGACACATTTGTAAATCACATTACAAAGAGATATTGGCCTTAGCTGATTTACTCTTTCCGGAGTATCAACTTTTGGAATAAGGGTGATCAGAGTATTATTCACTGTCTTCAAATTGTCCTTCTCCCTCCACATTTCCTTCACTGCTTCACAGACACTATTGCCAACAATATCCCAGTTTCTCTGGAAAAAGATGGCTGGAAATCCATCTTCTCCTGGTGTTTTAAGCCCCCTATTGAAAACATAGCTTTCTTTATTTCATCGGATGTGATGTTCTGCCCAATTAATTCCCAATCTTCATTCTTGACTTTAGGCCAAGAGTGTTGCGTCTATACCCATTCTCTTTGCTCATCATCTTCTGTAAACAGTGAGCTAAAAAACTGGTTAATTAGGTTCCCCACTTCCTTTTTACCTTCCACCCAATTGTTTTTTTGCATCCCTTAGAGTTGTGACTCTATTCCTTCTCCTTCTGATTGTTGTTTTTGTGTGGTAATAGGATGTGTTACGGTCTCCATCTATTAGCCACTTGGTTCTTGCTTTTTGAAACCAAAGAATTTCTTCTTGCACCAAAACTGCCCTCAGTTCTTCTCTAAGCCTTTCTTCAAGTTCCTCTAGCTGGATGCTAGGTTGCTCCTGCATTGCTTTCTATATACCTTCGATTCGATTCAAGAGCCTCCTTTTCCTTTGGGCAATGTGCCCGAAGACATTTGTATTCCATTCCACAAGATGTTCTTTTAAATTTCGCAACTCAGCTCTGATGTTTGAAGTTCCAACCCATTTATTCCTGAGCATTGGCTTGAAGTTTTTATGTTTGATCCAGGCAACTTCAAATCTAAAAGGCCTGGCTCGTTGGTTATGTGCCTCTGACATGAGTTTGATCAGAAGGGGGTGGTGGTCAGATTGTAACCTAGTTCCCACTCTGACCGTTGCTTCATCAAATCTGTTTCTCCATTCAACATTACATAAAGCCCTGTCAAGTTTTTTGTAAAGTCTAGTAGCATGGTGTGTTATGGGTCCCCTCCACGTGTACTTTGGTCCCTCTGTCCCCAAGTCAATCAGCTTGCAATCATTCATGTTAGAGCAGAATTTCTTGCATTTCCTTTCATTCACTTTGTTTCCTCCCCTTTGCTCTATTGAGGATTTAATATCATTAAAATCACCTGCAAGGAGCCATGGGTGATTAATGTGTCTTGACAGGGATTTTAGCGCCTCCCAGAGTGCCTATCTCTTAGCTGCTCGAGGACTAGCATAAACTGCTGTGAAGAGCCACTCACTTCCTTTTAGGCCATTCACCTCACAATGCAGGAATTGGTGATGCTTTTCTAGGACTCTTAGCGTGATATTTTCATCATCCCATAATATCCATATACCTCCAGACATTCCAGTTGCCTCTACTATCTCCTGATATTTGAAACCCATTCTTTTAATAACTTTCTGAGCATTTATTCCACTGCATCTAGTTTCTACTAAAACTACTAAAGAAGGCTTTAGTCTCCTTTTCATATCTTTCATAGCATGACCAAAATCACTTCCGGCTGCTCCTCTAGCGTTCCAGACTATTATCATTAAAAACAAATAAGCAGGGGAGAGAACTAACACTAACATCTTGTGTCATTGGTTAGTCCCTCCATGTGTCCTTGTGTACCTCCCTGTTGGCTCTCGGGGTCTTCTGCTTGGTGGTAGAAAGTTTCCTCCACTTCTGATAGGCCCATTAATTCCTTAGTCTCCATTGGTTCTGGTGGTTTGTCATCCTCCAACGCCATGTTCGGGCCCACACTGACTGGGGGATTTTCTAAAGAACTATCCATAATAATATCTTCAACTTGCATTCCTTTCGGAGTTTTAGGTACAGTTTGGGCTTCCCCAAGTTGGCCCATTATGTTTATTTTTTGTGTCTCAACTGGTGGTCTCGCTCCTTTCTCCCTAGGTCCATTAGTTTGGTCTTGAATTTGACCCAAGTTTGCTTCTCTTTCTTTCTCTTTTTCATCTCTCGCTGGTGTCCTCGTCTTTTCAGCCCCTTGCTTTCTCCTCTCGCTGTCACTTCTCAGCCTCTGGGAGGTTCCTCCTTCTTTCTGGTCACCATCTATTTTCAATGTTGCACAAGCTTTTTCGGACGACTTTTTCTCTTTTAGTGCTTGTTTCTTCTTCTCATTTGCTTTTTTCTGCTCTTGTACTTTGTCCTCCTTTCTACCACTTTTTTCCACTGCAGCAGTGTTGGTGATTTCTTGTAGAGGTTTCCTGTCATTATCAACTGTCTTGCCCCCCTGTTTCTATGTCTTCCTCTGCCTCCAATAGTGAGTATCTCGATGTCTCTCCTATTGTCAAATTTGGTCTGACACCTTTTACCTGCTGCTGTCCTGCTTTTCTATCTGTTGTCAGGTTTCTTCTCCCTCTTCTCGAGTTTTGCACCACCATCCAACCACCGTATACGGTTGCCGGTTTTTCTCCAGTAGTCCCATGTCTTCGATTAATCTCTCCATCCTGTTCATTCTGCCTCTCATTTTGGTTTGCTTCTGATTGTTCTGGTTGTTTTTTCAGAGGGCAGTGTTCAGAAGAGTGGCCGAATTTTCCGCAGAAGAAGCAAATCTGTTGGAGGCATTCATATTCAATTTTTAACTCATTTCCATCTACTGAGTATGATGGCAGCAAAGGAGCATTCAGGTCCACCTCTACACACATTCGAGCGTACATTGTTCGAGCCCGAGTGAGAGTCATCTCGTCAACTTTGATTGCTGTCCCGATTTTGTTGCCCAAATTATAGAAGAACTTTCGGTCGTAATAATCTCCTAGTAAACCTGGCAGCCTCACCCAGACGGTGACTTTTTGTATTTTCTCGTTCCGCACCTTGAAGTTGCTTTTCCATGTTTGGACTGTCAGATAATGATTCTGTATGAGCCATGACCCCCCTTCTAATGCTAGGTAGTAATCGTCTAGATCCTGGAAAGTTGCGGTCATGTAGCCATTTCCGATGACATTGAGTTCCACCTTTCCTGCCTTACCCCACATAAGTTGAACTTTCCTTTGTAACTGCATAAATCCTGTGGAGCCACCTAGCAATTTAATGATCAGTGTATTCTCCCATTTTTTTGCCAATCTTCTTTTTTCTTCTTCTAAGAATTCTATCTGTGGTCCCTTCTCCGTGTCAACTATTTTGACCCCTTTCGTTAGTTCCTCATCTTCATAATACAGGAGGTTTCTGTCCCACGGTTCCTCTTGGTCCTTTACCCTGTTTTTCTGTTCTTCTGTCTTGTTTTTGGGTTTCAGAATATCTCTATAAGAGATAGCATTTTTCCTTGTCGGAGAACTAATTTCGTCATCCCAACCATCCATGCTTCTTCTCTTGGTTGCAGAGAGATTTCCCCTGAGAAACTTCCTTCAGTTCTTGGTTGTTTCCCTCTTGTTTCCTCTGTTCCTTCTGTCGTCATTGTCAGTGCTTTCCCAGTTCCTTCTATCATATTTGTGCTCGGTTGATATTGTAATCCATCCATCGGTGCCTCCGCTCCATCCAAATGACGGTCCGGGGGTTGATTCCGTGGTGGGGTCTCAGGTGATACCATGGAAAACTCAGCGCCTCTCTCTCTAAGCTTCGCTCTCTCTCTCTCATCGTTTACTGCAAAACCTTGTTTAGCCAACGCATCAGCAAGCCTATTTTGCTCTCTAGGTATGTGCTTCACCAGTAAGATCCATTGGGCTCTCTGAGGAATTCTTACATGCACTAGAAGTGCCACGTAGCTTGTATTCTGACTAATAGAAATCCTCCAAATCACATGGTGGGACCCATGCCTGTTGCAGTCTTTTATGTCCTTTTTCCTTCTACACGCGCTCTCTCTCTTTTGACTCTCAACTCCCTCTCTCTCTTTTTGATTTAATTTTCTCTCTCTTCCCAATAAAACTTCTTCCGCCCACTTTAAATTTTATCTCTTTATTTTATTTTCGTATGCCCTCGCACATTCTCCCCCCTCCCTCTCTCTATGTCTTCTTTTTTTTTCAATTTTATTTAACCTTCCATTTAAATAATAGTGTTGCTTTTCCAAATCAAAAATTCTAAAATAATTATATAAAAATTTAAATTTTAAAATATTTTGGATACATAATTTACACTACTTCTAGTATTTAATATAAGAGTTTGTTTGAATTTTATTTTGGTTCTAAATATAAGATCCTAATCTACTTTGTTTCTCATATTTATCTATTTTTTCTAAGATAATCATTGTAATAATAATAGTTCTAGTTAATATACTTGATTAGCAATGATATTTTAAAAAAGACAACACAAATTTATTACAAATAACTAACTTAACTAGTTTCCTTAGTCTATTCAAGTTAGTTAACTAGATCTTATATTAAAAATCAAAATAGTATTTTACAACCCAACGTTTAAATTCTTTCTCAAGTTTTTAAAATTCCCTTCTTTTTGATGGTTTATTTTATGTTGACATGTGAAAACTATTTGACAAAAAAAAAAGACGTGTGAAAATTGTAAGAAAACTTTGATAAAAGGAACCAAACTAAATAAAATATCCTGTTAGGCCTTTTTAAACTTCAATGACAAACATTTGCTTATAATAACTTGTGTTTATAAAAGACTGCAAAAGACTGTGTCCCACCATGTGATTTGAAGGATTTCCATTAGTTAGAGCACAAGTTATGTGGCAATCCCAGTGCACGTAAGAATTCCTCGAGCTCTCACAAGCTTCTTGATCTGACTAATCAATAAGCTGCAGCAATTTTCATTACTATTAGTCAGCAACAAGTCTACCAGATTTTTTGCATCAGTTTCAACAATAACCTTTTTAAAACCCATATCTCCCTCCAGGTTGAGACCTTTTAACATGACCCATTGTTCTGCTTCTGTTACTGTGCACCTTCTCAGAGGCTGAGAAAAACCAGCCACCCAGTTGCCCTCATGATCCCTTAGCCCTGCTTTTGATGTGGACGAACTTACTGTACCATCGACGTTAACTTTAATCCTGTGTAAAGGTGGTTGGCAGTTGGCACCATCGTAACTCCCCTTGCTGAGCAGTATTAAATTCAATAACGTCAACCTCCACCGCCACATAATGTTCCCACCTATGAATAATGGCCATGACCAGCTGTCCCGACCTTTGATCATTGAATCACTGCTTTGACCAATTCAACAACTTGTTCAATTTTAATATCTTGAAAGGCACATGCGGGGCTCTATATTATTTTACAGTTTAATTTAATTTCACTAAAAAAATCATTGTATTTCTTTAAATAATTTTTTGCCATTTTTGTATTTTAACCAACTAGCAAAGGAAGACAAAACCATTGGAAAAGTAAATTATACAGGCAATAAATATGATAAAACCATTCACCGGCATGAGTCATGATTAATGAGCATGTGCTACATATCATGAATGTGGGATTATTGAGATTAAATTTGGAGTTCATGTTTTACGTTTTTTCTTTTTTCTTTTTTGGGGATTTTTTGAAAACAATTTTTACTTTTGATAACTATGAAATCTAAATAAAAATAAAGATTAAGGTGCAGTCAGTACTTTAAAATATCATTTTAGATGCATAGAGTATTTGAAAATATATTGTTATTCATCCAACTTCATGTGCTTTTAACCTTTCAGCATACTAAAATGTTTGGCGGCGCAATTTGCCTTTAACGTATTGATTTTTTTTAGAAGCATTTGCATTCTTAAAATATCTTTTTAGGAACAATTCTTACCTTTGTCATTAACTCTTAAAAAAAAAATTCCTTAAATGAATGTGTGTCAAACACTTTAAAATATTTTTCAGTTTTAGCTTGTTGAGCGTATAAAAAAATATTTTAAATAGTAGATTAAACCTAACCCTAAAAATAATTTTATAACTATGATTTCAAAAATAAATTTATTATTATCAAAAATTATAAATTAAAAAAATTTAAATTTAGAGTGTTATTATCCTTTTTTATAATCAATGCAAACCCTTTTTGGAAAGCAATGATTTTTTGGTAGAGTTTGGCGCACTCCCTGTTAGCACTTGGCTCTCGATTTCTGATTGCCTTTGTCTTTTTTGGTTGGTAATATCATTATCGTCATCTGTTTGCTTTTTATTTTTTTTTAAATCTCTCTTTGACAAAAGTATATCTTTTTTCTTCAATTTTACATAATATTCTATTTTAATAATTTAGTTTTAAAATCTCTCTTTTCGATCAATTCTTTAGTGTTGATCTCAATGAAAAAAAATTGATATTATAATTTTAAATGTTAATAAAAGCAAGAACATTCACAAATACTCACATGTTAAATTTAACCTTTTAAAATAATAATGATCGATAAAAAATAATTATTTGCAATCAACGTGTTAGGATTAATTAGAAGACTAAAAAGACATTTTATAAAATTAAGGAACGAATTCGGAACCTCTATAAGATTATATGATCAAATGTACATTTTTACCTTTTTAAAATAACAAAATAATGTGAGGATTGGAGGTTTGAAAAAAAACTATTTTATAAAATTAATAAACCAAATTAAAATTTTGCCTAAAATTAATGGCTAAAGCTATGCTTTTGTCTATATTATTTTAATATATAAAAAAAGAATATCTTAATTTAATAACAGGAAATTTGATGATAATCTTATCACATCAAACCATTAATCAGTGATTCATCAATATAAGAGATCCAATTATTATAATACTAAAAATCACATTACCTATGAAGCGGCTTGCAGTAGTTCAATGCCTTTTATTTTTATTTTTGCCAAGAAAATCAATTTTATTAATATCAAAAAATAGTACAAACACTAATAGCCCAAAAGCCAAAATAAACTCTCAAAAAAAACTAAGATACAACCTAACAAAATACTGAAAATAAAAAAATACAACAAGACAAAAATAATTAGAATCCGACTACGTCAGCCAAAAGAACCATGTACACTACCCTTGGGATCCCTTCCTTTGGTCAAGTCAAGGGCTAAAAACATGCTTAAAGAGGATGGGACAGAGACCAGCCACTCATTGTGATACATCTTCGGGGTTCCACATCCTACCAAAAAAATCAACAGCTTTATTACTTCTTGTTGAGAGAAGAGAAACGTCTTTTATTAATTGACTAAAAAGTAGAATACTTGTAGAAATCTTGACTTGCTTTTCTTTTCTTCTTGCCTCTATTTATGCTGCATTATCCGTAGCTTCTGTCATCTCTTGCGCTTTGCTACTGTGTGATTCTGCAAACTGCTTCTTCCTCCTCCTTCCTTCGCTCTCACGAAATTATTTTCTTCAAACTGCAACAACCAAAATGGAGTTTGGGATCTCAATTTCTAAACTTTTATATCTTTTTGTTTTTAGATGCTTTGCTTCGACAGCTTTTATGGGCTATGGATCCAATGCTCAACTCATACCAGAAGATGAAGGTTTCTTGATTAATCCCTTTTTGTTTTTCTTCTTAATTAGTCCCTTTCTGTTTTTCTTACTCCTTAGCATATACTATATTACTCTACTTAGCGTTATGATCTTCTTCCCTTTCCATATGTTTTCTTACTATTCAAAGAAAATTACACAAAAGAAAGGGGTCAACGTGGTGGTTGACCCTTTCCTCTTTTTGAGCAAGCAGTGGTAAAAAAACTGTCGTAATTTTTTAGACTTGATGGAGGGAACTAAGTAAACTGATTCAAATGTTTTCTTTCTTCCTTTCTCTGCCCCCCCTTTTATCAACGAGATTCCAAGAGTTGAAAACTATAGTACTTTATTTTATTCATTTATTTGCCACTGCTTTAATTTTATGCTAATATTGAATTCAAAGAACTAAGTAATCAATAATAATATTTTTCTTTTTGGTATAAGGAATGCGATTTATTAAAATTCCTATATTATTAATAGATATAAATCAGATCTAAAATTTTTTAGGCAAGCTGGGTAGATGAATAAAGCTTAGGGGGTGTTTGGGTTTTTTTGCCAAACCATGGTTTGGCAAAAAATTTGCCAAACACCCCTTTTTTTTTAAAACCATGGTTTTGAGCTTGAAACCTTGGTTTCAGCTGAAGCAGCACGCGACCCGCTTTTTATTCTATACTATATATTGAATTGAGTGGCCCCCACACGTTGGACTTTTCTTTTCATCAACAACGGCTCCGAAGCATTCAAACTTCTCGTGCATTAATTAAATTGAATTAAATAATCATATTTTTTGGTTGGCAAAATAAATTATTTTACGAAAAACATATTTAATTATTTTATTAATATATATACGTTTTAATTTTAATTATTTTATTAATATATATTATTTATTAATATATATACATGTTTAATTATTTTATTAAATTATTTTGTAAAATAACATATTTATTTATTTTATTAATATATATACGTAT